GCGATTTAGCATCACATGAAAGGGCTTGTGAAGTCACACTGCCTGTCTAAGAGCCCTGGCACTCATTGTACTACAGATTATGTCACTTTGGATGAATTTTCTTTATCCTTGCTTTCATCTTTTCCAATCCTCCTTTTATGCCTTGTTGTCACCACCTTTCTCACCCCTTTTTCTGCTGGAATGAAGCACAGGCTTCATTCCAGATCCCCCTACTGGCCATTTATATCATTGCTCCTCCGTAGTGAAAACGAGAAGTAAAATCAAGCCTAAATTAAATGTGAGAAGTGTGTCCTTATATTATGTTCGATTATGTATTATATGTTATTATATGTTATTGTTGTTTTTTAAATCAGGTATTGACTACAGTGTGAAGACATTAACATTGGACAATATGCAGGTAGCCATGCAGCTTTGGGACACCGCAGGCCAAGAGAGGTGAGTGACCCCTCCCTTCAGCATATTTCAGTTAACTGGTTGGATATAAACCACTAATATCTTGCAACTTGAAGCTTACCAATAAAATACTAATCAAGAACATCATATCAAAAGTCTGAATATATAGTCAGTTTATTGCAACCTTCCTCCAATCTTAGGTTTATCTGAGAGAAATTGTGAGCTTTTTTTAATACAAATTATGACTTTGCAATCTCAAAAAAAATTTCCACACTTGCAAATTCCCTTTAATTATGCTTTTACCCTGCCTCTGTATTACTTTATTTTATATTTTAATTTTTTTTTATAGAATTGCTCTAATATGCCCTCTTAATAAACACAATTCCTCTTGCAATACTTTATTTTACATGAATGGAAGTGTATACAGTATAATAATAATAAGTTTCTGAAGACTGAAAATTAGAGATAATGTATAAAAATGTTTTTTATTGCACTTAATGCATTACTTTTGTCAAAACCTTTAAATTAAATCCAATACTATGGACTTCTTGAGTGTTTCAAATCCTCCGTAGAAGTGAACAGAAACAAAATGACAAAAAAAAAGTGTCGTATTTCCAACACTTGAATGTTTTTTTCTTGAATAGTCACTATAAAACAATAACCGTGTAGTATTATTGTAGCAGTATTGAGGCGGATGTACATAATATATTCTTATACTCACATTTGAAAAATGGGCCACTGTGCTGACATTCAAATCCTGCTACTGACACAGGTACCGCAGCATAACCAAGCAGTTCTTTCGCAAGGCAGATGGTGTGGTGGTGATGTATGATGTTACAGTGGAGGAGAGCTTCAAGGCTGTGCGGCCCTGGCTCACCAATGTTCAGGTTGGACCTTTGACCCATTCAGTCCTGTGCAAGTCTTGTTTTGTTGCATGCATGGTTCAGTTCATCCAATTTTGGAATTCACATTCTTAAAAGCTGGGGTTATTGCTCATAACGTTTATGCAGTTCACATCTTTGGCAAATCCTGAAATGGGAAGCTCTGGAACACTGTTCTTTATTTTCTTAGGAAGCAGCAGGAGAAGGGATCCATATTCTCTTGCTAGGTAACAAAATGGACATGAACGAAGACAGGGAGGTGTCATTTAAAGAAGCTGAGCAACTTGCTTATGTAAATCTAATGCATTTTTGTGCAAGTATTGCCTGTTCTAGGACAACAGTGGGTCTGAATTTGTGTGCACACCCTTTTCAGGAAAACAAGGTGATGTTCTCGGAGGTCAGTGCCTACACGGGAAAGAATGTGACAGAGTCCCTGACTCACCTGGCCAGGTAAGATCAAAACAATCTGATACACAGCGCACTGGGGCTGCATTATGATTCGCAGCAGATGTCAAGCCTTTACCCCCCCTCTTTGTTTACTCAGAGTGTTAATGGAGCAGGAGGACACGGTGAGAGATACAACAGTCATACTCAGCACTCAGCCTGTGAAGAAGAAAGCCTGCTGCAAGTGAAGACTCAAGCTAACACAAAGAAAACCTAAAACCATAGGGGGAAAAATCTTTGTACTGCTATACTCAGTTTATTGAGAGGCAGATCTTGTTTTTCTGTGGAGATTAAAATGTTTGAAGACAAAACTGAAAAGAGTAATGGACTTTAAAACCAGGAAGGCAGTAAATGCTTAAATCAATATGCGGTAGAAGTCCGTATAGTCTGTGTGAACAAACTGCTGTCAAAATTTAATGAAAGGAGCTTCTCTACAGTAAAACAAAAAGTTGTGCCATTACCTGTAAATGCTAAATCACAATTGTCTCTTTGTAGTATTTAGAATATTCCTTATTGCAATTAAATAAAATCATTTTAGCTAAGAGGAAAATCAGAAGTATACTGTAGCCTTTTCATAACTGAATCTTTGCTTCAAGTTTGAAATGAAAGGGGGATAAATTATTTGATTCTTTGACATTTTATTCATCACCACATTCTTTTTTTCCCATATTCTTTGATCATCCGATCTCTAAGCAAAGTGGTACATGGCATAATTGCATCATGTTTGTTACTGTTCTGAGGCATTGTTCTCTTTTTTCTGGCACCAAAGTTCTCATTAATTAAAGAAATAAATTCCATTTCACATCTTTCTGAAATTAAAAAATGAAAAAGGAGTCACATGCAGATACTTGCTAAAATAAAGCAATGAATTACTGTACTCTCTATACAATTATACAATATGTAATAAATGTTACTAAAGGTAAAACAGTTAATGACTGTGCTATAATCCTCTTAACATCACACAAGTTAATCGTTTTCCATTCATTGTAATAATAATAATAATAATAATAATAATAATAAATAAATTATTTTCATTTCATACATCAATCAAAATAATTCTCAGAAACAGACCAAAAAAATCAAGTAGGATGATACATTCAATGAGGTGCCCGAGTCGATCAAGTTGGTACACATGATGGCACTATTGCTGATAGATACGTGCCTATTGTGATGACATCACCTAGATGCTGGCTTGATGGCATCCAATCAGATGCGTCCAGATGCCCTCCCTGGCAAACTGGAATGCTTGTTGGAGAGCCTGTGCCCTCCCCCTCGCTGACCAGAGGGGCTGAGGCTAGGTCTGCGGCACGGCTTGGTCTGTTGTTCCTAACGCATTTTGTAGTCGTGGGAAATGGCGGCCTCGCATAGCTGTCCTTTAAAATCTAGCTCAAGGGTGAACTCCAGGTCACGCTGCAACAAACATTACCAAAAGTGAATTGAAGTAATCAGTTACAAAGAATTACACACAACCAAAGAGGCACTGTAAGAAATATTTCCTTAATTAAAAAGAAAAGCAATTCTCTGTTAATTAACCGCATGCACACAGCAAATAAACAGGACATTTTCTATTATTAACAATAACTACAGGGAAAATAGGACACATATCATTATTTGAATATTTTCTGTTATTTAATGGTGTGTGGTCAGGATACAGAAGAAGCAGCTACTTTTCAGCAGTTCCTTTGCCACAAGGGGTCACCGTAGTGGGTAGCTCTTCCTGACGCAGCCCCAAAGGGGATTTTGTGGCTCAGGCTGGAATTAAACCAGCTACTTTTTGCTTGCTAAGCAAATATGCGCTATTGGAGGCAGTCTACAGTAAAACAGGATGTTAAAAATATGGCATTTTTTACTAAATGAAGGTGTATCTATAGTAAAAAGAGGACTTTTTCCACTATTTGTAGCCATATCTTTATTATATTTCTAAGTATGTTGCTGCTGTTCTAATTTAGGTAAAGGATTCAATATTCCCTTTTTAAGTCTAGAGAATTATCTTGAAAATTTTTAGTCTTACCACATTCTTCTCGTTGGGCCTGACAGCAAGACTGCCAAAGATCTCCTCTCCCTTCTTGACAGTTAGGTAGTCCTCTAAATAAAACACAGTCTGCTTCCAGTGTGTGCTTGGGGCATCTGGAGCTAAAGATAGGATGTGATGGAGGGCAAGGGAAAAGGCAGGGAAGTGAAAATGAAAGATGGTGGAGATGATAAAGAGAGAGGAGGAGAGAATTTGAAATTAGGTTAAAGAGGAATGGTGGTGAAGCAGTAAGAACAGGCAAAGAGGAAAGAGGAGTAAAGAGGAGTAGGGGAAATAAAAAGATTTACAGAATAGTGTTGACAGGCACTAGACTGCCTTCGGCATGTTAGCATAGAAGAAATATAACAGCAAAGTGCCTGAAATTCTCTCATCCAATGGGAAAAATACAGAGGCAGATAGAAGAGATCTCCTTCGGTGATGCTCAGCCTCAGGGCCAACAGACAGCCAAAAAATAGAACCTCCTCTACGCGATATTATGTAAGCACCAGATGCGTGAATGTATTAACATAAGCTTGCATAACATATTTCACTATAATAGGTGTCCTCAACAGCATGATGACATGCTCGGTGATTCTGCTGGTTCAAACACTGGTCACGTAACACCAGCAGAGTGTAGCCAAGAGCTAAGGTGCAGAAATGGAGCGCCATCCATTTAATATCCACAGATTCACTGCTCAAACTACTCAAGTGGCTGCGGGGCGAGTCAGAATGTGAATCTGCTTAACGGTGCAAGCAAATCTTCATGTATCCTTGGCTACAGTTTTATACATTTTGTAAACTTGTGGTGTAAAATAACTGAATAATCTAGGAGAAATAATATTTATATCAGGTTTTGAAATCTGTGAATCGCTGAACACCTCAGTTCAGTTCTGAGACACACTTGCTGTGACAAATAAAACTGATCACAAGTGAAAAAGAAATGTCACTCATTGGTGTTTCAGTTAAATAACAAGTGGATTTGGAGAACATGTGTTTTAAGGCTCAAGTTTCAGAAAAGATTAATACATCCGAACTTTTTGTGAGTGTAGCAATTTAAAGTTCCATAGAATTGTTTTATCATTGAAAGTGAAATACAGGAGTTGCCCACTCTTTTCATAAACCTTTCTGTTGCATCGCATTGGGTCCATTGCAATAGAGTCTTGATAGAAAATCCTGGGAAGTAATTGCCCTTGTCTGCTATGCAGCATAACACAACCTCACTATATGAGCACCACATGGAGAAAGTAATATCAAAAATGTATAGTACAGTACTGTGGAAATGGCTTGAATCACCCCTCATTTCTGTATATTTTCCTTCAGTGATGGGAAATAGGTGCAGCAGTTTGCTGAAACGTGCAAACGTAAATGGAAATAGAGTATATAGGACAAAATAGAGTTCACAGCTGTAATGAGCTTGTAAGTCAATATTTGGTATGACCACCTTCATTCTGCAACACAGCCTGAACTCTCTTAGACAAGCTTTCTTGACATTTCTTTGAGTTTTATTCAGGAATAGTTCTCCAGGCTTCTTGAAGGACATTCAGAATTCTTCCATGGATGTTGGCTGTCTTTTGATCTTTTCCTTGTTGGGATGATTTTTGACCAGGATATGTCCTTCAACGCACATATTAAACAAATATGTAAGACTGCGTTCTTCCATTTGCGCAACATCTCTGAAGTTAGAAATATCCTGTCTCAGAGTGACGCTGAAAAACTAGTTCATGCATTTATTACTTTCAGGCTGGACTATTATAATTCATTATTATCAGGATGTCCAAAAAACTC